GTGGTTAGAAGAGTGAGTGATGTGGGGCATAAAACTTCTAATGCTGGGCATAAAATGCCCCCCCCCCAAAAAAATGACCCTTTTTGGAAAGTAGAGTTCAGAAACTATTTGCTGAGAGGCATGTTGAGTCAACAGAAGAATTTATTTTGTTACCACAAGTTTTCGGAAAATGACACACACACTATTTTTTTTAACACACAATTGTCTGTTAAATAATTTATTGCTCACACGTGCCATGGGTATATGTGGAATTATGCCTCAAAATACATTCTGCTACTTCTCCTGAGTACAGGGATACCACATGTGAGAGACTTTTTGGCAGACTAGCCAAATACAGGACCCCAAAATCAAATAAGCACCTTCAGGCTTTTAAAGGGCTTCAATTCCTCATTACACTTCCTGACTACCTATCACAGTTTCGGAGGTCATGAAATAACAAGATAGCACCTAACCCCCCAAAATGACCCCTTTTTGGAAAGTAGACACCCCAAGGAATGTGATAGGAAGCATTGCGAATATTTTGCAGATCGCGTTTGTTGCTACAAGTGTTTGGAAAATGAAGAAAACAAAAACATTTCTGTTTTTTTATATTTCAAAACCTTGGGAGAAAAAAAAATTAGATCTGCAAAATACTCACCATGCCTCTTTATATTCCTTGGGGTGTCTACTTTCCAAAAAGAGGTCATTTTGTGGGGTTTGGTGCTATCCTGGCATTTCAGGGCCTCCGAAAACTGTGTTAAGTAGTGAGGTAGAAGTAGCAGAATGTACTTTGGGGTGTAATTCCACATATACCCATGGCTTTTGTGAGCAATATATCATTTAAGTGACAACTATGTGTAAAAAAAAAAAAATGTTTTTGTCATTTTCCAGAAACTTGTAGAAAAAAAAATAAATCTTCCATGGACTCAACATGCCTCTCACCAGATAGCTTAGGGTGTCTACTTTCCGAAAAGGGGTCATTAGGGGGGTGTTTGTACTGTCCTGGTATTTTAGCACCTCAAATGTGATAGGCAGTCAGAAAGTAAAAGCTGTGTAAATTCCATTATCTATATCATAGTTTGTAGATGCTATAACGTACACACAAAGCAATCAATATACACTTATTAGGATTTTTTTTTATCAAAAACATAGCAGAATACATTTTGGCCTAAATTTATTACTAACTTTGAGTTTACTATATATTTTTTTATAGCAGAAAGTGAAAAAAGTTTTTTTTCAAAATTTTCGGTCTTTTTTTCTTTATAGCACGAAAAATAAAAAGCGCACAGGTGATCAAATACCACCGAAAGAAGCTCTATTTGTGTGAAGTACGTAAATTTTGTTTGGGTACAGCTTTGCATGACTGCGCAATTACCAGTTGCAATAGTGCAGCGCTGAATAGCAAAAAAAGGTCTGGCTATTAAGGGGGATAAATCCTCAGGATGGCAAGTGGTTAAAATCAAGCTTGCCATTTTTGAGCCCTGGACAAAGATGGCTGAATTAAGGCCTCAATCTGTCCAAGGAATTGTGACATAGATGCAGATATCAATGTTGTAGCCAGATCCTGTTCTGCTGCAAGGGACACTCTGAGATTGAGTAAGACCTATGGTGCCACTCCAAAGCTAGGAGACAGAAAAAAAAGATTAGATTACCCTGCTGGTATGCAGATAAAGGCAGCCAGTGTTCTAATTACTTCCAGAGGCTCCAATCATGCAAAGTGACGAACACCGCTCTAACCAGCCTGATGAGTCTGGATACGTGAGATGGCCTCAGCCACCACACTCTGATGCATTTCACCCCACCCACCGGGGCTTGGTCACAGAGGTGGGGAGGACACAAACAGAAGGTGAATAAGTATGCATCATCAGCTCTTATAGGGACAGATGTTAAGTGTGAACAGGTGTTTAAATGTGTGCAAGGAGGAGTAATAAAAGATGTAATAAAGGGAGTAAGAAGGGTGAGAGAAAAAAAATAAGTAAGCGGTGCATGGTAAAAGGTGGTTAACAAAAGATTGTCATTATATGAAAACTGAGATTGAGAAAAAAAAGTGATTAAAAAAGAGAAAATTAAAAAAAAAAAAAAAAAAAAAAAAAAGGAGGAGGAACTAAAAAAAAGAAAAAAAAAAAAGTTAAAAATTTGATCAAACAAAAAGCAAAAAAATGCAAAAAAAAAAAAAAAAGTTAGAAGGATATATGATAAAATGAATGATAAAGAAGACTGAAATGTTGAAAATAAGAGCAGAAATGTGGCGAGAATAGTAAAAAAAAAAAAAAAATTGTCGAAAAAATCGAAAAAATAAAAAATGCGTACTTTATCATGATCCATAAGTGAAAAAAAAAAATAAATTAAAAAAAACGCAAATACAGAAGAGTGAAAAATCTGCGTGAAAAATAAAAACGAAGATGAAGGATTATTTTATTTTTTCACATCTTCATTTTTATTTTTCACACTCACACTTTTCAGTATTTGCGGATTTTTATTTTTCAATTTATGGATCATAATAAAATACACATTTTTATTTTTGCCATTTTTTATTTTCACAAAATTTTTTTCGCTCGCCACATTTTTTTTCACATTTTTTTTCCATCTTTCCTTTTTCAATAATTTTAATATTCCTCCACTCACTTTTTTCTCCTTTTTCAATAATTTTTCATATATCATATATCCTCCACTCACTTTTTTCTCTTGTTTTTTTGTTCGATAATATATTTTTAAATTTTTTTTCTCCTTTTTTATCTTATTTTCTTGTATCTTCATCACTCTATTGTTTTTTCTCAATCTCAGTTTTCATATGATGACACCCTTTTGTTAACTATCTTTTAGCATGCACTACACTTTTTTCTTATTTGTTCCTCTCCCTCTTACTCCTTTTATTACATCTTCACTCCCCCTTACACACATTTTAACACCTGTTCACACTTAACACTTGTCCCCATAAAGGCTGATGATGCATTATTCACCAGCTCTTTGTGTCCCCCCCCCCTCTGTGACCAAGCCCTGGTGTGCGGGGTGAAAGGAGTCAGTTGGCGTGGCGACTGGTCTCACATATTCATCCAGACTCACTGGGCTGGTTAGAGCGGCGTCATCTCTTTGCATGATTGGAGCCACTGAGTTGGAGTGTAATACAGGCCTTGGGCAGAGCAAAAGTTCCCCTATGATTTTGCATTGGCTCCCATTCATCTGGTCTCCGCCAAGTGAGGGTATTCCCCTGCGGGATACTTATGGAACAGGGTGCGGAGTATAGGGTAACTGTGGCAGGAAGGAGGAAGGGGTAACCCAGGTGTAGACCATCCTATAACGAATATTTGTTGCAAAGGGGTGGGAGGAATCGCTTGAGTAACTTAAAAGGTCTCTAAGGAGCAGAGGCACTAAAGTGTGCATCCAGTGGTGTGAGGTAACACCTTATCATCCACCTGAGACTAAGCTCTGAGTGGTTGAGTTTTAGGGCCAAGTTTGAAAAGCTTATGACGTTGGGTTAATATATCCTAAACCTAACCCCATTTTAACAGTAACAATCAGAGATACGAGGTGACCCAGTCTTATCTGTAAACAATTCTGGACTATATAAAAAAGATCGAGGCTAACCCATCACAGTGGGCATACTCGCAAAAGGGTCGTCTGGGTTCCACAGCGATGGCCAATGGCCCTGTATAGCACCCTTAGGCTGACTCGACACACTGCACCATGTGCCAAGGTGAGCACGCATTCAGGATCCAGTGCCTGAAGCAATATTACAAGCCATCCCCACAGCGTGGGGCCTGGGTATGGCTCAAAAGGTTTATCAAGGTTAAGCTGCTTCTATGTTGGAATTAGAAGACAGTGAGGGACTGATTGAACCCAAAACCAAAAATGTGTTCTGTTGCAGCTTACCAATCAATAGATGTGGTGTCTGCATTCTCTCTTTTCTTTGGCTTTTTCCCCCCATCTGTTTTCAGCTGGTGATCTGGCCAAGTAAAACACCTCATGTATTAGTGAGATGCCACTCTGGAGGACTGAGTACAGGGGGATGTTCATGAACAGCCTCAGAGTGAAGGAGGGGGAAGAGGGAGCAGTAGTATCTCTGGCAGAAAAACGATTGCAGAAGTAGGTTTTCTCAACCTGTAAACTATCTTGCTGAGTGTGCTGTGACTGTATTGGTCAGCCAACCTCCTGCTCTATTCTTCCAGTTTACCATGCACAGCAGCTCTGCCTCTCATTTAACACCTGCCTCTCAGTGTAGTCATTTTTTGGAGGTGAATGGAATGTCTAGCTTTAAATAAACCTATGGCTATAGAGTGATGAAGATTTGGTACTCTTGAATGCATAAGAAAAATTAGGAGCTCTCTCACACATCCACACACACACCCATTTTTTTTTCTATAGTATCTAAAAAAAAAAAAAAAAAAAAAAAAAAAAAAAAACACACACTGCTGCTGACAAGGGAGCCAAGTGGCTTGGCATTTTCAGTCGACTGTTCATGTTGATTTTGAAGACCCCTGCGTGGGCAACTGATTTCTATATGAACCGTTGCATTCTGTTTAATAACGTGGGCTACCAAGCACTAAAAACAGTTTGGACTGCCACAACTCACTGGAAAACTTTCTACCACATGAGCATAATCACAACACCACAATGGAAATAATCCCAATGATACACATAAACCAACGTTGCTTTTAACATTTTTTTTTACTATAGCTAAAACTAAACAAAAAATTATATTATGGCTACATATACACAGTATATCTATACGCACTGGAGAGGGCCTAACTGAACTGATAGACCAAGCAAGGTTTGGTCTTGTAGAGCAGCTAAAAATCACAAACTATGAAGATTAGTATTCCATAATATTGAGGTTAGTATGCATGAGGACAGTAATAAGTAGCAAAAACAAAAATACACATTCCTTAATACTATACTGCTCTCGTTATTATAAAACTCCTACACACATGCATAATCAGATGTGTTTCTCCCAGCTTCATTCAATTTCTTTAGAATACATAAATGAATGAATAGGGGATTACCTGGGTGGTTTTTCCAGATCCAGTTTCTCCCACAACCAAAACAACGTTATTTTCTTTAATAATTTTGATAATTTCTTCTCGTTTTTCATAAACTGGTAAGGACTGGCGAAAGCTATCAAACTCAGAATCTCCTCTCTTTACTGGGACTTGGGGAATTCCATTGCTCAGACGGCCACTTGACCTGCTCATTTCGTGTTTTTCTTTGAAAGACAAAATATGGTAAGGATTACTGTTGACTCATTTTAATTGAACTTAAGTTATCCTTTTAAAAGGTCCATTTCAGCAGAATACACAACTGAAATACACATAACAGCTTTAATTTGACAATAGATTTAAATAGTAACACTCTTGGTATCCATTGATCCTTGCTGAAAACATTTTGTATAGCCTGTGATATGCAGACACTGTCTACTATATTACATCCACCCCAAACTCTCTTGCTATAAACCCTTAAAAACTCTTCCCGTTTGACACTCCCTCTGCAAACTTGATTTTTAATGTTCAACTGATTTATAACAATTTAGACAGAATTTCTGGTAATTACATTCGTTGCAATTAATATGGCTTACGGTCTTCTGAAAAAACACACATTAAATGGACTAAAGTGTATATATTTTTTTTATATATATTTGGCTAGAGTTATATTGTTTCCATTACAAAATTATGAATATGTATAAAATAATTTTAATGAAAATGTAACACCAGGGATGCTACTTACCAGCAATGAAGTGTGTCCCATGTGCTGGTAGCTGCGGTTTACAGTAGAGCTTCCAATGCTGCAGGGTTAATATTAAAGGAGAAGTACAAACCAAAGCTCTTGGCTGTACTTCTCCTCTGGATCTCAGGAGAGCAACTGATTCTACACACTTGCAACATGTTTTCAGCTGACAGCGGGTTGAAGCCCGCTGCCAGCTAATGTCACTCAGTGGGTCCAAGCTGGGGACAGATCCCGGCTTTAAAGTCGGGATTCACCCCAGAGTCTGGAGTGACACCTGGCTCAGACTCTCAGCGAGCCACTGAGAGCCTGAGCCAGCTACTCCCTCCTCCTCCACAGCCCACTCTTAGAACCGGCAGAGGACCGATGCTGTATCCACCTAGGTAAGTATGATTTTAAAATAAAAAGAAATCCTATACATCTCTTTTAATGGCTGCAGGGGGTTAACATCAAAAGTGCCAGCTATGCCCAATCTGTTGACCCATATGCTCCATTGACAGCACCTTAACTATAGGTTCCCACAATGCAAAGTGTTCTGTGATTGAAGAAGAATGTGTGAGAATTTATGGTACAGTTACTATGAATTTAGTACTTTTGACATGTGCCTTACACCTATCACAGACACAGATAGTAACAGAACCAGAAGATCACTGCTGAAGGGGCATTTGAAAGCTGTAAAATGAAGATTTCTACTATAAACACCAGCACGCAGGACATACAATTTGTTTATAGCATCCCTGGAGGGGTTAAAATATGAAAAAAAAAAAAAAAAAAAGCTAAAATTTCACCTATAAGAGGTTATACAACAGACAGTATGCTTAATTATAAAAGCTTTACGCAACGGAAAAAAAAATTATGCCAGGAATTACTGACAGAGGACACTAGAATGTAAAAATATTATTTACAGTGCATGTGGAATTCAAAAAACACGTCCTATGTCTACACAGTGGAGAGGAGTACCGTACCAGCTTCTATTGCAAAAACATTGCTCCGCTCTGTTTTTGGAAGCAGTTCTGTCTTCTCTTTGTTAGTGATGGAAAAACGCTGGATAAGGCCCCTCATGGTTTGCTTTGTGTTGTGAGTCAGACAGCATGTCATGAGAGCACCTATGGTGTCACTCCCATCCTTCTTTCTTATTGTTAAGTACCTATTAGCACCTTTCCTACAAAGAAACATGATATAAGCATAAAACAATGGTGTAATACCACTCAAAATATTACAATACAGTGACGCTAGCGATAGGCTAAAAAAAAAAAAAAAAAAAAAAAAAAAAATACAATTTGACTCAATTATTCCTACAAAAACAGTAAGTCAATCTATGGTCCCCCTCAACATAAAAATCATTACACTCTAAATAGAAATAAGCTGTAACAATCATTTTACATTTGTGGATAAATGAAAGCAGTATTATACCCAAAAATAAAAATGTAATATATTGCAACTTACCCAATCCTAAATGTGGTAAAATGTCTCTACTCCACTGGAGGAGCAAAAGAGACACCTATGGGTAGTACCATTATCAATCTGGAGAGGAGATCGTGTTTAATGCACTAGAAGACTAAAATGTACTAACAAATTAAAGCTGAATTCCTGCGAACACTTAAAGCAGAACTAAATCATCCTATCCTTTACAACCTGCCATCTTAGTCTTTGATCTGCATTTGCCATGGTGCTGCAAATGAGAATAGCTAGAGCATCGGCCATTTGATGGGCGACAGAAGGTTTTTTTGAGAAAGAGGATTCTTACACCCATGAAACACTGTTTTTTCCTCCTTTCCCACTCTTTTCACCAGGGTCTGATTTTTAGCTTCCATGGGCATCGGCCACATATGGTATATATATAGTTAAATTGGTCTAAGCTGGACCAATATAACCATGTATGAAGTGGCCATCCCTGAAATTTATCTTTAAGCAGTAACAGCAACAATCTTCTCCTTTTAGGACAAAAATTGTACGTGCAGTAAATTAATAAAAATCTGACCATTTTGAGCACTTCTGTCAGTGGTAAATGGATGATTTCAACCCTATAACTGCCGCTTTTGCTTGACAGCTTGGTCTATTAGGAGGAGGATGACAAACACCAGACTTACAGGCTGGATCAAAAAGGTGAACAAAAAAAAAAAAAAAAAAAAAAGAAAAGGCCTGAAAACGCAGTTATTACCTGTTAACTATTTCCAGGACAGCTTACATGAGAGGATTAAATAGAAATACGTACGTTAGGGTGGGACTGCTGCTTGTAAGACCTTCCTGCCAAATGCTTGTTTTTTTATTGGCGGTTAGGTCTAACCAGTAATTCCTGGCGAACACGCTGAAGCTGGACCATGTTGCGGCCTTACAGATCTGTCCAGGGGAGGCTCTAGATTTTTCCGCCCATTAGGCTGCCGTGGCTCTCGTTGAGTGAACCTTTAGATCAGATAGTGGGGTAAGGCTTCCAGCTTTATAACTTTCTGAGATAGCTTCCTTTAGCCATCTTGTGATAGTATCTTTAGAAGCTTGGGAACCCTTTTTTGAGCCTTGAAACAGGACAAAGTGGCTAGACGAGTTCCTCCACTCCTTTGTACATTGGATATATGTGATCACAGGAACCTTTTTACATCAATCTTGTTAGAGCTCTCCTCTTTGGTGTTGCTCTGGTTCCCACAGAGACAGCATCACAAGGTTTTCAGTCGTAAGAAAGTTTGACGCCACTTTAGGCAGGAATGCCGGGTCCGGACTTAAGATAATCTTATCCAAAAGGATTGTGCAATAGGGTTCCAATACTGTTAGCACTTGTAATTTGCCGACTGTGCATGCCAAAACTAATGCTGCTACGTCCCAAAAGGGGGATCTGTGATTCAAAGGGTTCCTCCATCTGGAGATAGATCTTAGAAATCTGATCATCAGGGGATCTTCTGCTAATTTTTGTTCCAGAAAGTTGGATAAAGCCACCATTTGATCTTTCAGTGTGCTAACAGAAAGGTTCTTAATCTGCTCCCGCTTGAAGGAATTCGAGCACTGTATTCACGATAGGCGTGTCCGGATCGCGGTATTCCAGCTTCCAGAAGGCAGATCTTTTCCAGATTTTGTCATAAATGGAGTTAGTGGACTATTCCCTCCCACTTAGGATAGTGGCGATTACCTTTTCTGACAGACCTTTCCTGGCTAGTCTTTGCCTCTCAGAAGCCACCCTGCCAGTGCCAGTCTCTCCGGGCATGGGTGGAGTAACTACCCCTGTACTAGGTCTGCCCTGGATGGTATTATCCAGGGATCCATCAGACCTAGTTTCTTCAAGAGGGAAATCCATAACCTCTTTGGTCAGAAGGGGCCATTAGGATGATCTTGGTGTGAGACAACTGTATTTTCTGTAAGATTCTTGGTAGCAGCCTTAAGGGTGGGAAGGCGTAAAGGAGATCCCCCTCCCAAGGCTGGGCAAGCGCTTGCTTTGGGGGGTCTCTTTGTAGGCAGAAGTATTTGCTTAGCTTTGCATTTCTTTTGATGGCGAAGAGGTCTATGGATGGAGTGCCCCATCTGTTGCAGATTCAGTTAAATATCACCTGGCTGAGGAACCTCTCTGACTAGCGGTCTTCTCCACTTAGCTGGTCTGCCAGCAAGTTCAAGTGGCCCTCAGATGAACCACCGTAATAGTTTTCTTCTGCACAAGCTAAAAAAAAGTTCCAGTTAGTAGCATCAGCTTTGGTGATCTTGTGCGTCCTTGCCTGTTTAGATAAGCGACTGTTATGTTGTCCAACAGAATTTGCACTTCCTTCCCCTTTACCTTTCCCTTAAAGAAGTTAACTTGAGCGCTTTGATGACCGCCATCAGTTCTCTGAAGTTTGAGGAGCTTTATGCTCTCTCTACATCCCATTTGCCTTGGGACAGACACTCATCCATATTAGCTCCCAGCCCGGATGCTTGCATCCGTAGTGATCTTCAAGGGATTGACCTGTTTCTACTTCATTCCCTGTTCCCACGTCCTTGTGGTATTCCACCAGGTCAGTGACGCCTTCACTTTTTGTGTTAGCGGAACCTTGGAGCCCAAAGAGGTTTGGCCCGCCCAAAGGGAGAGCGCATGGTTTTGTATTACCCTCGAGTGCAATTGCGCCCACTGCACACCTGGTATGGCTGTAGTCATCCTCCCAATCAGCTTCATCACATCCCTGATTGTAAAGTCTGATGCTTCTATGAAACTGTATGTCTTGTTGGAGTTTGAGAATTTTTTTTTTTCCCTCTCTCATCAGGTGTAGCTGTGAGTTTGTTGAATCCAGGATGTATCCCAAATATGTAATTCTGTTGGGAGGCACTAGCTGAGATTTTTCTGAGTTTATGAGCCAACCTAGGCCCGTCAAGAAAGATATCATATCCGATACTTGACTTTCTAATACTTATTTCAAGTACAAGGAAGTATTAGAAGACGTAGAAGAGTCTGTGAGTAGGAGATCGTTTAAGTAGGGGATGGTGTTTATCCTCTTTAACTCAAGCTTTGTAGTGCTTCCGCTAAAACCATCATGAATATTCTTGGGCTTGAAGATAGGCGGAAGGGAAGGGCATTGAACTGGAACAAGATGGTCTCGGGCCCTTTTAGCGCAAACCTCAAGAACTTCCTTGAGGCTTCTCTTGTCGGGATAAGGTAAGCATCATTTAGATTGAATACAAAAATAAATGCAGTTAGGTGGTAGGCTCATCCCTTTGATAACGTGCTGGTGCACGAAACGCGTCAGTGAGGAGTCTACCATAGTGATGTCACGCCGCAGACAGCCGCGAGGAAGGCAGGCGGCCGTTTTAGAAATTCTGTATCACATGTGAGTGCTTTTCATTTCCCTATTCTGCTGGATTTTGAATAAAATACTACACTATCAGTACCTATCTGTCTCTGGCTTGTTATACACGAGCCCCTAAGGTGGAGATTTCCCCAATTTTTGATGTTTCTGGTCTGATGGTCTGACGTTTGCTGGGAGCTGTCCCTGGGAGCAGAGAGTGGCCTGTAAGTGATGGGAATTGCCTTGTGTGCCTATAATGTGCCAGATGACTCTGCTGCCCTCGCCCTGACAACCACTAGTGGATATTTGTATACATGCGCATACCTTTTGCGCTTCTGGTGAGTGCATTCACATTACTGGCCCTCGCCATAGAAATCACCAACACAGATCACCATTTTTATCTGGACTTCATTTGCATTATTACCATAATATGTACTATAGTCAATTTATATTTATGGACTTTACCTGGTAGATACGTTACTATAGGACGAGTCACTATTATACCACTTTATTGCGCTGCATAAGCGCCCACTGCTTACCATTTATTATTATTGTTGTATATCATTCTCTAGCGCTGCATTTATTTTTGTATTGGATTATCTGGAGGTCAAGAGGTTTACCTTGTATGCCAGCTGCTTTTCTGATCTTGCGTTCGCATACATCTTTACTATATACATTGATTATTTAGATCTATGGATGCCAAGAATGCGCCCAGGGTAAAGCATTTCTTTAACTGTGTAGATTGTTTCCATCCAAAACTTTCTCATTTTTTTATGCATTTGTTCCCTTTTTTCAGGTTTAGGATCATACTGTATTTCCCTGAAGGCTTTTTCCTCAGTAAAAAATGGGAATAGAATCCCTCTCTTCTCTCCCAGTAGGCTTAGCGTCTTCTGTTGCAGGGTCTCCTCCAGAAGGTTCACTAGTGTGTCTGCATAATCCTTCAATGGGGAGGGGGGGGGGCCTTGCAAAAAACCTGTGAAAGGGAAGGTGAGAGAATTCTATTCTCTAACCCTTCTGAATTATGTCAGTATAAATGCGTTCTGGGTAGTCTGTAGCCATTGCGTGTTTAAGTGTTCCAGCCTTCCTCCCACCCGTCTCTGCCAATCATTTGGACTGACTTTCAGATTTGATTTGTCTTGGTTGGGGTTGAATAGGAACTCTCCTTTGTCTCTTCCTTACTTGGGAAACCAGTTTTTATTTTGGCCTTGGGGTTTAGAGTCTCTAGTTGTGAAAAGAAAAAAAAAAAAAAAAAAACACTTTCTTCCTGCTTGCCTATTGGGGATAGGAAATCCCTTCTTAAATCGGCTGATCTTTCGAGCACCAAGGTCAATTCGGACCCACAAAAAGTTTCCCCTCAAAAGACAGACGACACAATCTGGAACTAGATGCTGTGTCTCCCTGCCATGACTTTAGCCGATATGCCCTTCTTGCTGAGTTAATAAGGCCGGTAGACCTGGGTGTATATTTAATGGTTTCAGATGATGTGTCGGTTATGAAAGCTACCACCTTCTCCAGCACCAGGAGTGATTTTATCATTCAATCGCTGGTTGTTCTAGGTGGGACCGGAGTTGGCCTAGCCACATATCCAACATGCGTGAAACGCAGGTGGTTGCCACCGCTGGTTTAGAATTTACTGCAGATGCCTCCCAAGTTCTTCTGAGGAAAGTGTCCGCTTTCCGGTCCTCCGCCTTCAAATTACAAGTCCGTGTTCCTAGGAACTTTCGCAAGGGGAGAGTCCCGTTTTGGGCAAGCCTCCCAGAGTGAAGCATCCTCCTCTTTAAAAGGGAAACTTCCACTTCAAATTCTTGGGAAAAGAACGCTTCCCGTTCTCTCAAGTGTCCCATAAGGTGGCATGAACAGGCAATGTGCGACCACTCCTCTTTTGGAGCCCTGCGTACAAATGGTCATGCACGCACTTCTTTTCAACCTCCACTGGGGCCTCTTTTCCCTTCTTCCTCCGAGAGGCCACACAACAGAGAGAGATAAAGGCACAGAATCCCCTAGTAAACCGGGGTACTCTTGCCAGGAATGCCACCTTAAGGTGCAACTACTGCAGAGTGAGACAACATGGAGGAGAAAAAAGAAAAACCATGCTGTAGCAGCAGAAGAGGATTTAGTCAGTCGTACGGCTCCTACCTTACTGCTGGCCTCCCCTACTCAGACAGATCTGCCTCCACTGAGGCTGACCGCCACCCTCAGCGGCGACTTTTCATATGGGGTAGTGGAGTCCCGCCCTCTCCCCAGGTCCAGTGGCACTGACCACCCGTCACAGCTGCCGTAGAGCTAGCGTTCTGTCCGCCTCTCCATTACCAATGATGGCGATGGCAGCTTCCTGTTGCCGTAGTGCAGGCGTGCCAGGAAGTGACGTCACATGGAGGCGGAGACCCAGAGGTGACGTCCGTCCCGGCACGAAGTAATGACGTCATTGCCAGTGACTGCACTGAAAAAGACATGTCGGCATCCTGCATCACCAGCAGATAAGGCGCACCCACAGGGTTGAGGACCCACAGGTTCAGCGTGAAGGCCTTCAACACCCCTGGTGTGCCTGCCTGGTTCTATACAAGAGAAGGGTACCCCCCCCCCTCCTAATCTTGCCAAGGAAGGCATCCCCAAGGATATGCCTGGATGCGGTCTGCTCACAAGGCCCCTGCCTTGCCTGATAGAAAGGCAGCCGCATCCAGGAGGCCTCTGTACCCTGCCAGACAGCCTGCAAAAACAACAAAACAAGGGTATTGTCTGTCCTGGCTGGACGAAATACCAATACTGAGGACCCATGGGTTGAGAGGCTATTTATTAAGGAAAAAGTGGATCAGGTATTTCCTGGTGGGAGGAGAAGCCTATCTCTCATGTAAGCTGTCCTGATGTTAGCTGTCCTGGAAGATAAACTTAGGAAAACTAATGCAGCTACAGCCTCCAAGAATTGGTAAGCTGCAATACATTATAGTGTTTTTAATACTACCACAATAAGGTTTAATACTACTTTAATTAGTTTGGACCAAGCTGGTCCAAACAAACTGTTTGCTTCATTAACACGTGCACTTGTTGTCAGCACTGTATAAACTGTATGTAGCATTAGCTACATACAATATACAGCGTAATGTTCCAACAGCAGTAAAGGGACTTTCAAGCCTGCTCTTGGAACAAAATCAAGTCAGGCTGAGTTCTGCTCATTTAGAGGAAGCTTTGCATTTTCTGAATGAATGCAAAGCTTCCTCTGATTAGCAGCAGAGAGCCGGATGTCAACCCTCAACCTTAGCCAATCAAAGGACTCAATTTTGTTCCAGAGGTGAGATGGAAAAGCTCTGTCCCTCTGCTGAAACACAGAGCTGTACAGTGCCTTGAAAAAGTATTCATACTCCTTGAAATTGTTCACATTTTGCTAGGTTACAACCAAAAACGTAAATGTATTTTAATGAAATTTTATATGATAGACCAGGGGTGTCCAAACTTTTCAAACAAAGGGCCAGCTTACAGTCCTTCAGACTTTTGGGGGGGGCCAGACTGTGGCTAGTGGGGGTAAAAAATGTCCCAGGCCTAGCACCAGTGAAAATAAAAGCCTCAGGGTTGGTGGTCAATTATATAGCACCTATGGTCAGTAAGAGGAATAGCGCCTCATAATGGGTGTCAGTGAAAGGAATTATGCCCCACTGTTGGTGTCAGTGGGAGAAATAGTGCCTTATATCTGTTGGAGGAATACTGCCCCAAGGGCCGGTTATAGGCCTGCAAATAGCCTCATCTGGCCCTCGGGCCACAAATGGGTGGACGGCCATGTCTTGGTAGGTTTGCAGTTGTGCCATACACTTTCCATTTTCAGATGATGGATTGAACAGTGCTCTGTGAGATGTTCAAATCTTAGGATTTTTTTTTTTTTTTTTTTAACACCTAACCCGGCTTTAAACTTCCCCACAACTTTATCCCTGACCTGTCTGGTGTGTTCCTTGGTGTGTTCCTTGGCCTTCATGATGCTGTTTGTTCACTAATATGCTCTAACAAACCTGAGGGCTTCACAGAACAGCTCTAGTTATACTGAGATTAAATTACACACAGTTGGATTCTATTTACCAATTAGGTGACTTCTGAAGGCAATTGGTTCCACTAGATTTTAGTTAGGGGTATCAGAGTAAAGGAGGCTGAATACAAATGCAAGCAACACTTTCCAGATATTTGTAAAAAATTTTGAAAACCATTTATTTTCCTTCCACTTCACAATTTTGTGCCACTTTGTGTTTGTCTGTCAGGGTCCTGTCCACGGCAGAAGTTGTGGAAGATCTGGCATTTCTGCCAGTACTCTACATGGCCGCAGAGGTACACATCAGCCTCAGTCTGGTGTCAGACGGCCTTTATAAGGAGGCTCATCACTTCTTCTGGTTGCTGGATGATCTCTAGCTCCTGTGACTCTGACTTGTGATTTCCTGTTACCTGACTAGGCTTGCTCCTGGACCTGTCTACTCTGATTTACCTCGGATCTGATCTCGGCTTGGCTTGCGGATACTCTCTCTCTCTCTCTCGCTCCTCTGTGAATGACCTCGGCTTTCCCATCTGACTACGTCCGCTCTGATTCCCACCTGGTACCTGACCTTGGCTTGAACCGACTACCCAGTAAACATCCAAATCCCAGAAGGGCTTGCATACCACGCACAGGCGCCTCCTGTCTGCAGACCTATCTCCGTGCACCAGCTGTGCTTCTGAGTGGACCACCAACCAGCACTCCTACAGGCGACCTGTGCAACTTTGGGCCTGACTCCCGCTGTCTCAGGGGAGTCCGGGACTTCGCCGCAAGGGAAGCCCTCTTTCCATTGGCCTTCATCACCAAGTACGTGATACTATCACATAACATCCCAATAAATACATTTACGTTTTTGGTTGTAACATGACATGAAAAAATGTGGAAAAGTTTCAAGTAGGGGGCATGAATACTTTTTCAAGGCACTTTTTCGCAGCTATTGCAGGCAGGTGGTGGGGATCTGACATCACACACTGCCCAGCCTAGAGCAAGAACTTGGGTGTAATTTGAGACCTGAGTGAAGGTGAAAAAGATACATCCCCCTCCACAGGTTTGCAGAGAAAAGTATGCACAGCTGATGCTGTCAGTCACATTCTGTGTGCTGGGAATACAAAGGGAGATGTCTCATAAGATTCTGTGGGGTCAGAAAAACCTGTCATAAGTGACTAATGCAGAGAGGTAGGAGAGAAGGACATCAAACTCAGTGCTTTAGATTAAGGCTAGTACACACTATAGAGGGATATGCTCTGTTCATTTTTCATTTCAGAGGTTTACAACCAGTTTAAGTAAAAGGGTCTGTCAGAGCTCAAGCATGCAGCTGCAGGACTACATTTGAACAGAAGGTGCTTGACACTCAATGCATTGATGTGTCAAGAAAATGCAGAATAAGGGCAGTAAAGTTTAAGGGAGAACACAAGCTGTCTGAACAAAGTAATACTGAAAAGTATTTCGGCTGGATCAAGGAAACATAACTGCACATTTTATGCTGGCCTAAATGTGTTGTTTTCAGAGCCATTTACCATGACAAAAGGTGCCAACTGTGTCAATAACTCACCCTTTACTCTTCGATATTAGCCCAAGTGACTGGGCTAGACGGTGGATAAAAGCTCTCTCAGTGCTGGTCAAGGAAGATGGGAACTCCATTTCTTGAACAAAATCATAAAAACAATTAATGTTTAACTGCAGTGCAAAAATATCAATCCTGTATTCAACATGTTTACAAAACACAGGTATGTGCCCACCTTCTCTACTATACAACAAGCAAAATTTCTGTTTCATAGATTTTCAACCTTGCTCTATTCCAGGACATTCCAGATTTGAAGACAAGGACCAAATGTTGCCCAGGCAGTCCAGATCTGGAGTCTGGAGTTGCCCAGGGGAATCTCGAGCTGGAGCCAAGAGTTGCCCGGGGCAGTCCCGGGCTGGGACTGTAGGCACTTCTACATCCTTTGCTGAATGCCCCAGTACCCCATAAAACCAAGATAAGGAATCCTGCAAACGGAAACCACTTTCACAGCTGTGGTGAGACCTGCACACTTCCTCTCTCCATGGCTCCCTAATGCTCAAAAAGTGAGATGGGAAGCAATAAAGGTCAATAGAGAGCCAATAAAATCAAAAAGGGGCAGGATGCAGGAGATGGCAGCTGTGTGATGAAAACAGCATCCCTGACTTTTTAGGACACACAAGACCTTTCTTTTTCAACATCAAAAGACCAATGAAGCCAAACAGAAAACAATAGTGTTATTCACACAAACAGTTGCTGTTTTTATGGATTTACACTTTTTCACATGTATTTATATGTAAATGGTACAGAGCAAAACCATAAAGTAAAATAACTTTCAAAGGTCTTAAATATTAAGGAAAAAAAAAATTGACAATGGACCTTTAAAAGCAATATGTTACATCCATATTAAGGGTGTAACATAGAACATGTTGCTAAGCACCCTCCCCCCCACCACCATCCTATGTAGGGGTTCTTCTCCCCCACAGCAGTGGCCATGCCTGCACAGCTGCATCCTTTATTCACTGAGATCTGTGAATGAACGAACTACAAGCCACAGCGGCAGGAGACCTTATACTTCCCATTGGAATATGATGGTGGTAATCAGTACACATTGATAATTCCTCCAGCTGTTCAACTGAAAGCCCATAGCGGCCCAGAGTTAAAGGCAGAGAACTAGTAGACGAGTTTGCAGGACCCTGACATTGCACCTGCGATCCATCCAATATGTTAAGTGCTCAGCATAAAAGGAGTACATCTTTTTTTGAAAAGTAAGATTTTATTCAATATCTCAAATTCAAGAACAATTTCCAAAATTTTGACAAAATTAAGTTTTATAGAACATTTGTTTAGCTCATTACATGAAAGTAATGTATCTTGGTCTCATCAGTCCAGAGTTCCAGTAGTTATCTTTTTCAGCATGGGCCCTGGCAAATTCTAGGTGGGCTTTTTTGTGCATAGGCATTAGAGAGGCTTCCTTCGTGCATGACACTCATGCATGCCATTTCTCTGCAGTGTATGCTGTATTGTGTCATGGGAAACAATCACCCCAGTTTGCTTTTCTACTACTTTAGCCAACTGCAGTGAACTTGCATGGTGATTTTCTTCAACCCTTATCAGAAGACGCTCCAATCAAGATGTCAACTTCTGTGGACAGCCTGGACGTCTCTGTGAGATGGTTGCAGTTCCATCTGTGTATCACTTTTGCTACAGTATTCTGACTGATAAGTAACGCTTTGCTGATCATCTTTCTTGTGTAAAAAAATGTTTGTTTCTCAGGCCTTGTGACATTTCTCTTCCATGTGGTGCCATTGCTGACAGCATGAAATGCGAAAGGGTGTTCTTTGTTAAGTAACGCCCTTTTCTAATCAACTATCTGCTGGACACCTGTTTAATGAAATTAGACTCACCTGTAGTTGAATTCTTGTTAATTAGGATGTTGTCTAAAATTTAGCTTTGCTCCTTAGCCTTTCATTGGAGTGTATTCATTCTTGCAAGATAGTCTTGAATTAAATTGTTAGGAAAATACTTTGTGTGCGCAAATGAACAAATCTTGTTTGCAATCAATGGTCCGATTTGTGGGAGTATTTTGTAATATAGGGTCCCATAGAAAATGTTGGGGTGCACTCAATTAGCTGAGCTATGTATATATATAAATATATATATGTATATATATTTATATATATATATATATATATATATATATATATATATATATATATATATATATATATATATATATACACATATATATATATATATATATATTATATATACATACATATACATATATACACACACACACATACACACACACACACACATATACATACATACACACACACACACACACACACACACACACACAATTTGTTAATTTACATACAGAAAAAGGTGTTTTACCTAACAAATTCATTCAAGACCATGTTGCAAAAATGTACCCTTTGTGAATAAAGTACAGGTGTCCAGCAGAGAGTTGATTATAAAAAGGTGTTACTTAAAGAAAACCTCTTTCCCATTTCATGCTGTCAGCAGTGGCACCTCATGGAAAGAAATGGCCTGAAGAAAGAAAATCATTTCTTTACACAAGAAAGGTGAAGGCTACAACAAGATCAACAAAGCTTTACTTATCAGTCAGAATACTGTAGCAAAAGCAATACAAAAATTTAACAAAGATGGAACTGCAACCATCTCACAGAGACATCCAGGCCACCCACGGAAGTTAACATCTCGACAGAAGCATCTTCTGATAAGGGTTGAAGAAAATCACCATGCAAGTTCACAGCAGTTAGCTAAAGAAGTAGAAAGCCAAAATGGGGTAATTGTTTCTGGAGACATCATATGGAATTTAATGAACAGGAATGGCATGCATGGGTGTCGTCCAATAAGGAATGATGAGACGAAGATAAATGTTTTTAGAACTGATGGCTTCAAAACTGTATGGCGTCACAAAGGTGAGGAGAACAAAGAAAAATGCATGGTACCTACAGTGAAACATGATGGTGACAGTGTAGTTCGGTGGTGCTGCATTTAATTGACGACATCATGAATTCACAGATGTACTGCTCTATACTGAAAGAGAAGACGCTACCATCACTCCATGCCCATGGTCATCGTGCACTTTTCCACAATGACAATGATCCACAAGACACATCTAAGGCCACTATTGCATTTCTGAAGTAGGACTTGGTGAAAAGGGATTCAGTGTCCAAGCAAGTCTCCTGATCTGAACCCAAATGAACACCTATGGGGAATTCTGAACAACAAGTTGAGCATCACTCTCCCTCCACCACCCAGGCTCTAAAAGAGGCCGTTCTTGAAGAATGGAAAAAGATAGGATGTTGCAATATGTCGCCAACTTGTTCATTTCATGCCTAGAAGACTTGGTGCTGTCCTTACAAAACATGGAGGTCATACAAAACACTAGATGTAGTAGTTTTTGTTGTGGGGTTTATTCATTTTTGCATCAACTAATTTGAGTAAAACTGAAGATTCTGTAATCCAAGTTAAATTATTAACCTTATGTTCATGTAATGTGCAAAACAAATTTTCTATAAAACTGTTTTGTCAAAAATTTGGAAATTGTTCTCGTGTTCATTGAGATATTTAATAAAATCGTACTTTTCAAAAGGAGTTTACTCATTTATGCTTAGCACTGTATATATGTAAATATTTTTCAAGGACCGCAAGAGAGGGGGGGGGGGGGGGAACGCTAAAGTGAAGGCACATTATTTTTTTTGTTTACAAACGATTTTATTGCATAAAAGTAGACTGTAAAACAACAGCACATTGTCAAATAGAACGTTCAACAATAACAAGGCACTTTTGAATAGTACAATACAGAGAAGTATATTAATGTAAGAAAGAAAAAGAAAAATTAAGATTGCAGAAACATGAAGTGTGTAAATGATGAGGTAGATTAAAAGATACATCTGTCAACAGTATATGCCATAGGACTTTCACTGGGAATGTTATTAATCGGCACATTATTATTTTTGTAACTTTGACAGGTGACATAAACCAGCTTGTAATCCACCAAACTAAGACTTAATTTGTATGTTTTTTTCTTATCCTACCTTCCTGATCACTATAACGAAACCTTTCCAGTGCAATATTTACAGCAATTTTCACTTCTTCATCAATTCGAATGTCTTTGAGTCCCTTTGGTTTGCCATGCTTAGAAGCACCCAGGTGTAGTGCTGTGCCAGGCCTTGGTGACATGCTGTTAGGTCTTGACATATTTACCACTTAATAGTAAAAAAGAAAAAAAAATTACTTGATAAAGAAAGTTTCAGTAACATGAAAATTAATGTATCATGAATTTTCATAAATCCATCAGTCTTGCTATCCATCTAGTTTTTTGTTATACCTTTCTAGAGTTCATAGATTCATGAGCAAAAAGGGAAAATCTATTTAGCAAGATAAAAAAAGTTTGCAAGTACAATAATTCTATTGAATTTCTTGACAGATCACAACAAAGCACTCACAAGTATACAGGCAAAGCTATGTTTTTTTTTTGGGGGGGGGGGGGGGGGGGGGGGGGGGGGGGGGTTGGCCTTAAAGTGCATTTCCACTTTTATGGTCAAATTTTAGAAAAATCCACTATGTTTGTTATTGTTTCTTCTTTACAATTCATACTTACATTTTAAAAATATTTCTTACCATTTAGATGTTTCCAAGGAGACAGTGTCATGACGGATTCAAACAATTTCTAGAAAGTCTCAGAGTGGTTTATTTACTAAAGCTGGAGAGTGCAAAATCAGCCTCACTTATGCATAAAAGCCAATCAGCTGCCAGGTTTTATTGCCAAAGCTTAACTGAACAAGCCAAGATTAGAAGCCGATTGGCTACCATGCACAGCTGCACCAGATTCTAAGTGCTCCAGTATTAGTAAATCTATCCCACAGTGTTTTTGTCCCCACACAAACTGAGCTATCCCTCCTTAAAGTGGTATTAAACCCAAAAGCAAACATTACATTGCAGCTTACCACTTCATAGATGTGATGGCTGCATTTGTTATTTTAGGCTCTTTCTTTCATCTATTTTCAACTGGTGATCCAGCCAGTAAACTGTTTCTCAAAAGAACAAGCTCACCAGCAAAATGTATTAG